AAAAAAAAAAAAAAAAAAAAAGAAAAGTAAGAATGAACCAAACGCAAAATTAGTAGAAGAAAATGAAGATCAGAGCAGAAATAAAAAAAATTCAGACTAAAAAAAAATTACTAAAGATCAATGAAAGAAAAAGTTGGTTTTATGAAAAGATAAACAAAATTGACAAGCCTTTAACTGGACTCAGAATAAAAGAGAGAAGACCCAAGTAAATAAAATTAGAAATAAAAAGGAGCTATCACAATGGATATCACAGAAATGAAAAGGATCATTAGAGACTATGAACAACTATACACCAATAAATTTGAAAACCCACAGGAAATGAATACATTTCTAGACATATACAACCCACCAAAATCAAACCAAGAAAAAACAGAAAACCTAAGAAGATCAATAGAAGTAATGAGATTGAATCAGTAATAAAAAGTATACCAATGAAGAAAAGCCAGGCCTGGATAGCTTCACTGATGAATTCCACCAAACTTTTAAAGAATTAATACCAATTCTTCTCAAACTATCCCCAAAAAATTAAAGCAGAGAAAATTCTTCCAAAGTCATCCTATGAGGCCACTATAACCCTGATACCATAACTGGACAAGGCACCTCCCAAAAACCAAAAAAACTACGAGCCAATAACCTTGATAAACACAGACGCAAAAATCCTCAACAAAATACTAGCAAACCAAATTTAACAGGGCATCAAGAAGATAATACACCATGATCAAGTGGGACTTATCCCAGGAATGCAAGAATGGGCCAACATACCCAAATCAATAAATGTTAAACATCATACTAATGGAATGAAGGACAAAAACCGTATAATTTCAACACAGAAAAAAAGCATTTGATAAAATTCAACATCTCTTCATGATAAAAACTCTTAATAAGTTAGATATAAAAGGAAAGTACAGCAACATCATAAAGGCCACATATGATAAATCCAAAGCTAACATAATATTGCGCTGAGAAAAGCTGAAAGCTTTTCCTTTAAAAATGGAACAAGATAACAATGCCACTCTGACCACTTTTATTCAACATAGTACTAGATGACCCAGCCAGAGTAATTAGGCAAGAGAAAAATATTAATATAAAGGACATACAAACTGAGAGGAGAAGGTCAGATTATCCCTGTTTGCAGACTACATGATCTTATATACAGAAAAACCTAAAGACTCTACCAAAAAACTTTTAGAACTGATAAATGAATTCAGTAAAGTTGTAGGATACAAAATCAACATATAAAAATCAGTAGTGTTTCTATACATGCACAATGAGCTAATGAAAAAGAAATCAAGATAGCAATCCCATTTATAATACCTGGAAAAAAAAAACTACGAATAAATTTAACCAAGGAGGTGAAAGACCTCTTTAAGGAAAACTACAAAACACTGATTAAAGTAAATGAAGACGGCCAGGTATGGTGGCTCACGCCTGTAATCCTAGCACGCTGGGAGGCCGAGGCGGGAGGATCACTCAAGATCAGGAGTTCAAGACCAGCCTGAGCAAGAGGGAGACCCCGTCTCTACTAAAAATAGAAAGAAATTA